CTGCAGCCGTGAAGGCTATGAGGAGAGGAATCAAAACGGTCAGAATCATGGTCAAGGGCCTGGGCCCTGGTCGAATGTCTGCAATAAAGGGCATGGCAACCGGTGGATTGAACATAGTTTCGATAACCGATAATACGATTTTGCCAGAGTTGGGCCCTCGGCCGCGAAAGGAGCGGAAAGTTTGAACTGTCTAGCATCTTTTTTTAGCTAACTACTTTTTCTTTGTTAAATTGGAAAGAAAAGTGTTTATCATTTTTTTAAACATTTTCGTTTACATTAATTACTCTTATTTTTGCATCAGTACTAGCATAAAGAATGGCAATAACAGTAGCAAGCTCCTGTGGGGGCCATTCGCTGTTCCGTGGCATCTGAACATAGCACATGGATTAACACAACTAAGCATCACACAGATTTGAATATGTGGCTCAAGCAAAATCAATCATTTAATTTGTATGACCATTTGTACTTTCGGGTCGCGGAAGCAGAAGCGTCAGACAGTGCTTCCAACGTTCCACATCCTGTGCCAGGTTTGAACTTCAGCTTGTGAAGTCTAGAGTAGGGTATTTCGATACGTATGCACCAGATAAATCTCGGCCGTCTCCGAAGGCTTCCGCTGGTCGATTGGGCAAGATGTACCTGTTTCGCTTTTCCTTCTGAAAGCATTAGCAAATTTTGCCCAAACCATCGCAGCTGTGTCTTCTTAGTCTGGAGAAACAGCGGTTCTGTACTAGGCCCAGTTAGGTAACATGACAAATGGCATAGTATCAAGGTGGAATATCGTCGGCATTGCGTATCATGCTATTGGCGAAGGAAATGGCGTAAGCGAAACTAGTGTTTCAGCAACTGACGGGGACTATTGTTAGAATACGTTGATATTTTGGGATGAAAGCAGCAAATGTACAATGAATGCTTATCATCCTTAAATCCTTAAGTCAAAGTAGGATGTGGTCAGTAATTTGTTATGAAAATGTGATATTGCTAATTCTACGTGATACACGCTGTCGGTCAGAATTACGTTGACAATGCCTTGTTGTTGCGCTAAAACGCTGACTTGAGTTTTTTATTTATTCAGTTATCAGTGATGTTTACGAAATGCATTGACTGATATCAAAACCTTTCCATCCTTGAGTTTCCAACTATGCATCATCAAAATAGTTCGCTGATGAATTATTAGCCCAGAATCAAAACTCTTTCAAGAGAATTTTAAATTACAAGTATATAGTGTAATAAATATCAAGAAAGTCAACTTTTGTATGACGAAACAACTAAAACAAGCACATAATGTGCCAATATTTTCAAAGATAAGGGTAAGTAAGTTATGGATGGCACTAGTGAGTTACATCCGCCTTCTGTGAAAAAATAAAATAGCAGTGCAATCCTAGGAAAGGAACATGTGCGAACAAAACAAGCCACTCTTGAAAACTGTGTTCAGATACAAACGGGATGTTTTTCTGAAGAGGGAGGGTGTAATCAGAATCTGACTATTTGTGGGAAAGCAGTAACAACTTGTTACGCAGACCTTCTTCGACGCCTCCAGGAGGTAAGCGGAATGCGTTTTCCAAGACCTTGCTGTGACTGTAATCGACAAGGTTCTGGTTACTTCGCAACAAGCTGTGCAACGGCCAGACTCCAGGGTGTTTACTTTTGCCATGCAAAGCAAATACGTACAGCGATTCGCTATGTTGCTGGGAAATGGTCCGAGCAGCCACGCCTTCGATGTCGCAAATCCAGTACAGATTTGGCACTTCCGAATCGGCTGCTGCAGACAATTCCATCAAATCTGGACACCGGCTAGCGGGAGACAGAATCAAAAAGCCGACTAACAACGCCCAGTGGGCGGTGTTTCCCGCTTTCTCGCACGGTTCAAAATTTTTGTCACAGTCGTAGGGAACCAGCACGGCAGTTTTGTTCAAGATCCGTTCAGCTAATGATCGCCCTGACACTTTTCGTGAGTCAGCGACCTCCGTGTGACATTCGTAAATAGCGACAGCCAGGTTTCCCATCCATTCAACTGATGCAGTCAAAATTATAGCATTGGTCAATTTTAACAAAGAAGTATACCTGAAAACATTTCGCCATGTGAAGTGATTCCGAGGGCCTTGGCAGTTTCGCATATGTCCGCCGTGAGTTTTGGCTCAGGCGATGACGACACCAGATTTTCGGCCATTTTCAAACATACCATACCACATATGAAAACAAGAAATACAGAAAACGATTTAAATATGTTTCACTTACTGTGGTCCTTGCTGTATTTCAGGGTGAACTTCAGACATGAAGGCGAATCCTACCATCGTCATGGGTGTACCATCTTCCTCAGTATCGACAGAATTCTTCAAGATCTGCATGATGCGCATTCGCAAAATGTTCATTGGTATCTCTGGCTATAACGAACTGGATTTCCTTATGACTTACACCATAGAATGGATGATGGTATATAACATGCAATTGAGTCAAAGTAAGCCGTAATTTCGTAATGCAAACAAGCAATTATTGATTAGATTGTGCAACATAGTCAGCAGTAGCGACCGCCTTCAAATGCATCAAACGCATGCATGCATACATAAAGAAACTACAGTTAAAAGTGAATGTTAAACCCATTTAAAAGGAGTGCTTTCTGTCCTTCAGAATCTCTCCGAATTTTCGAAAGAAAGAGAGGCAGGCTTGAACAGCAGGAAAGTTCAGTTTTTGCTGGCATGGTGTTGTAAGCATTCCTTGTAGCAAGATGCAATAATGAACCTTTCAAAAACTTCGCAAGCAGGGGATGCCCACTAATTACACATTAACGATAGCCCAAGTCAGATGGCCGCCTTTCATAAAGTTATTGTCAAGAAATCGTATTCATACAGTAAATAAGTAACACCGCGCATTTTAAGATGCTGCAATCCTTCCTCCGTAGACAAGTAAAAAAAACTGGGCTGGCGCAGGTAATGGCTGGATTGAAAAATCGAAATAGAACAGACAGTCGAACTGTTTTACTCAAGGAAGAAGGGAAGATCTGGAATTTCAGCAGTGTCATCAAATGGAATGATCCTCAGCGTACTTTCGAGAATATAGCAGTAACGCGATCACTCCAACTGAGGTTGTTAATCAGGATGATATGCAAGTATTGTACAGTGCTATCGCAAGGCATTGTATCATTAAATGTAGTTATGGTATTAGCAGCGACGGTTCACCTAGATGATGTGTTCCTCATGATTATTGTCAGCTTGAAGCTACTGTTAAGTTTTATAATTAAGCCATTGCTTCTGATCCAGCTTTCGGTCCATCCATAACATTTTCCTAAACAGAAGAGTCAGACTGACATCGGATTGCAGAAACAAGAAATATACCATTAGCATATCCACAAAATGGGTCTCATAGGCTGGACAGTGCTCACGTAAAAGCTGAACGACAGTACTCAATCATGAAGCACGCTGATTAGGCTGTGTCGTCGAAGACCGCAGCTTACCCATGGCGACAAATCATGTGTACCATGAACATGACAGATATAAAAAATTACGCTGATTAATGTATTTACAGCGTTTTGATATTGCGGGTAAAGAATGCAAGGGATAATTAAATTTGTAAAACATTTTCAAGGTGCAAAGTATTCTTCCATTGTTCCAGCTAATAAAGGATGCGTCTTGTTGGAAGTGCCAGACTAGCATGAAGCTGAAGTCGCAGATCTAACACATCTACAACACGGCACTGGTGATGCATGTCATAAACCTGAGGTGAAATCAAGCTGAGAAACAAATTCCTTAGTTTGAATGTATTTAGAAACAGAATCTATATTGCAATATACGTCGCATATACCACAGGGTCATGAAGTACTTGCAAAGTAAGATGGTACTATCCTGTCAAATGCAAGGTGCTGACGACCAGAAATCTGAGAGAATTGTTAGAAAAGATAATCAAAGACTACTTACTACCTAACATAGTTTGATATAGCAGCCCAAACAGAAGTAACAGAAATCTACTCAAAACTTTTTACACGTGACCACCGGCCACTCATTGTCAGGGCGTTAAAAACTTCTCATAGCGACAAGGCCGCTTAAAATGAAAAAAATACATTTCTGGCAGCAATGAACATTATCCGATAGAAAATAAGAAGCATGATTCTAAACGTATATATGTATGTATGTTCGGCCAGACACCATAAACCTATGCTACTCTACTGCTAAACCCTAGCTACCTTTAAGCGACTGCCCGGGACATTAGATGACATAAATGGTTCTACACGGCAGTATTGGTGTAGGCCAACGAGTTGATTTTAAAATCAAAATTCTCAATGTTATTTTTACCGCTTAATGCAACGTTTCCGATAAGCATGTATGCTGCTTGAACCATAAACCCCCCCCCGTGCCAGTTATGCATGTTGTTAGAGCCAACTCTGTGATACTGCAGCGCATCCAACCACCGCATGTGCTCACACATACGACGAACCTTTGATCTGCTCAAATCATCTCTAAGACCTACAGAAGAAAGAAATAGCGACTTTGCCATATACGCTACTCCAACGACTTGTGTGTCCTTCTTTACGGCTGAATTGGTCGACAAGTTCTAATCGATTCAAAGAAAAAACTCAAACTTGAAACGCTATATCAAACAGAAGGTATCACAAATTCGGGCTGTTCTGCTGCTGAGGTTTTGCTCGCCTTACACGAATCGATGAGAACAATTAGCCCTTGAAGAACGTTGCACTAAGGAATGACGATAACCACTGCCTAAGCGAAAATCGAACAAGTAGGCATGGTCATTTTCACATTGGTTACATTATTCCAACACTGGCATAGGTCTCCAAGATGTCTACAGTGTATTGAGCGAATCTGCATCTCATTTTTTACCACACAAACAAAAAACTTGGTCTTAAAATTCTTGACAGTGTTTGGAGACGTTAAACGAGTGTTACGTGAACATTAATAACCAAGCGTCGAAGGTCACGTAGCATAATGACCAGACCGATTGCTTTCTTCTCAGCACAAACATCTCAGCATCAAGTGTACATATTCACACCCCGATAGTGAAAGAATGTGTTCATAATCGATAATCGCAGTTTACAAAAGAACGCAGCAGTTTCTCGCACTTAAAACTATGAGCACCAACATAAGTCTGTGATATCAGTGTAAGCGAAAAATTAAAATGGACATGAAACGTGACTATACTAGATGTATTAGGAGTTTTCAAGGGACTGCAAACGGTCCTTAAGAAGACTCCAGAGAGATGGCAGGAAAAAATGAAGAAATTTGTTGCAGGAATTTGGATAAAAACTTTAACGCCAGCCTGTTTTCTGCCAAATCTTGGAAAATCCTTCATGGCCTCATCCCCAGCAGTGGTTCGGAATCAGCTGGTGATTACGGAAACTTTGTGTAACTGGCAAATTTAAAAATTGGGGGAAACATGCCAACACAACGATTCCCACAGCCAAAACAACTTATTCATATCACTGGCTTTTATACGTTTTACGCAGCTTTACGAGAACGCAAATCGTACTAACTCGTTCTAAGTTCCAAAATTCAGCAAAAATGTGCCAGGTGTGCTGTCCGTGAAAAAACCGTGGAAGAATGCGCTGAGTTGCAAAATATTTTCCCGAAATTCTAAATGCCTGATCTACTGGCAGAAGGCAACTTGACAGGCATTTTTCGTCTTGCTAAACTACTTTCTCAGAAGACCGCTTAAAAACAGTATTTCACAGAAGATCAAGTAGTTTCGCCACCTTCATTTAAAACTATTGTTCCCTTTGAAAATAATCAAAATAAATAATAGCAACGTTTCGGCAAAGGAAAGTCAACCTTACACACATTCTTTAGACGAAATTCAATTTTTTACACAATTTACTGCAAAACAACAAAAAAGATGTTTCATTTTCATGATCAACAACAAATTCAATTTCTGAGAGAATCAGGGATGACCACTTTTGCAGCTGTTGTCCTTTTCAGATGCGCTAGCTGAGATCTTTCTTTTTCATTCCATTGCCCGTTGAGATGCTACATATGTTGGTAGTTGTCTGCTGCTTCGAGTGAAATATCTCCGGTGTAGCGCTGAATTATCTGGCGAAATTTTTCCAGGCCTTCAGTAGCACCTCTCCGCTACTGGCTTTGCAGCTACATTCTGTGCGAAGTCGGCGGGATGACTGTGTTCGCTTCGGTGATAATCGTATAATTTTCCTCACATACCTTCAGTCTTCCTTTACAGTTGGGCGTGACACACCTCCAGAAGCACTACCATTTGGATTTACCGTCGCATTTCGATAACGAAACCCGTCTAGCGATAAAAAGTCTTTTTCTTTCTGAGATTCTATTTTCTCCATAATTAGTGGTTGGATTGAAACTGTTATGGTGACGTTGGCCATCTAGGTATCCGGAAAGTTCACCGAGTGCAGTTCACCGACGGAAGGTTCGCCGATGACAATTCACTGACGAAAATTTGAAATATTATGTTAATGAGCAGAATAATTAGCATAATATTATTTCGGGACCATTTTGACTTGGGCAATTTTGACGGGTCAAAGAGTGGGCTGCTGCCATATGTAGAATCGTGCACACTACCACCACTGTTGTTGCGTCGCACAGAGCCAGATGTTGTAAGAGTTTGTAAAATAAACTATCTGTACCGAATGATCGCTGCTGCAAGTACGTACAACAGGCTGAGTTTGATTGGCGCCATTTATCTTCATAATTTCAGCGACAGCAAATATCAACACCGGTCCTAGTTATTGCTCTTCTCACTTTTCGTTAAAGTCCCCTTCTACAGCCTGCGTTTTTTTCAATGGTTACGGCAGAACTAAACACGCTCATTTTTTACATGGAACCTTGACTGACTGGGAACGAGGTTCTGTTTTCTTCCAGGATATCGCTCATTCGCACATGCCGCTGGCGCCTGTCCGTGATCGTTAATCTTTTCCAACTTGACAGAGGGGCAGTCGGTTTTCTTTCTGCAAGCGAAATACTGTAAGGAACACGTCAGTTTATGGAAAATGTTTCATGCACACTACTCGATTAATTGGACTGGCAGGTAATCGGCGAAGAATCATTTCGGCTGCATCACGCTCGCCATTTCTTGCGGTTCACGCAAAAGAAGGCGCAGAAATAGTAAATTTGACCGTCTAATCTCAGGCTACTTTTCGCCACTTTCGCAAATTTTCAATCAATTTGCTGTGTTCTCCCACGGCGAATGGATTAACGGATTTATCCAACCACTTCT